CACCAAGTACTGCACAACATCTCCCAGTATCACTATCAACAGCAGTTCCCCCAACTACCGCTGAACCAACCACTACTTCCACCTCGGCACCCTGCTCCGAGGCCGATTAAGACCTCCCCGCAGGATGGATGCCCCCACCAAGGAAAGGCCTCCCGGCCCCAGAACCCCCTAACAGCCAGGCCTCGTCCCCAGGCCGAAGAGAGAGAAATCATCCCCGCCTCGCAGCTCGTAGGCAGGTCGGGAACCTCGCCCGCAAGATCGGCACCTCGGCGCACCAAGCCTGAGTTTCCGCTCACGGAAAACCGATTCGGCACCCTGGCAGCAAACTACCAGCAATCGAGCTCGGCAACACGGAGGCCAGCAGTGCCAGTACAAGGCCCACTCAACAACGAAGGCGCCGGCGAAGTCGCCGAACCGCCACCCGTGTCTYGTCARAGCTCAGAGGCAAAGAAGAGACGAGCTCGGACGAGGTAGGAGCTGCCCCGATTCTCTCAGTTCCTTCCCCCCTCGCATCAAAACTCCTGGCGGTCCCCTTGCCCAGAGATTTCAAGCTCCCACCTCTGGACAAGTATGACGGGTCCTTCGACCCCAACGACCACATTGGCGCTTTCCAGTCCCAAATGCACCTCGCCAGGGCCAGCGAATCGTGCATGTGCGTGGCCTTCACCACCACCTTCAGGGGGTAGCCCGCACTTGGTACAGGAACCTGGCCCCCGGGTCGATAAATTGCTGGGCCCAGTTCATGCAGGTCTTCACTGCACACTTCGTCACCAGCAAACGGTGCCCCAGAACGGAGGAAAGCATCTTCGGAGTAGTCCAAAGGGAAGGAGAATCCATCCGGGGCTACATCAAGCGATTCAATGAAGCATGCTTGCAGATACCACGGTTAGACCCCACGGTGCAGCTCGAGGCGGCCAAAAGTGGAGTAACGCACAAAGAGTTCAAATGGCACATGGTAGTAGCTAACCAGCCCGCAACCGTAGCCGAATTCCTCAAGCTCGCGAACAAGTTCATGAGGACAGAGGAAGAAATCAACCAACGAGCCGAAGGCAGGAACGAGAAAAGAAAGAGGGAAGGCGAGCCCTCCAACCCAGTCGAGAGAAAAAACCCGGCCCGGGAGCCGAAGCCGAACCAGTCGTTCCGAGCTCCCCTAGCAATTCGGACGGATTACACGCCGTTAAACACAAGGCGGACTGAGATCTTAATGACGATCAAGGACGCCCCATACGTGAAGTGGCCACCTCGCCTAAAGGGAAATCTAAACGAGAGAAATAAGAATTTGTATTGTAGTTTCCATAGAGACCACGATCATAGTACCGAGCAGTGTAATAATCTCCGGGACGAGATAGAGGGACTCATCCGTCGCGGATACTTAAGAAATTGTGTACAGCACAACAATAATAACAATAAGGCAGGTCGGCAAGGGGAGCACGA